CGCCAAACATTCGGTAGAATTTATAGAATATTGTAAAAATTATGGATATTACCAACATATGTATATATATATATTATTATATGTATATATATATATATTATATATATATATATAATATATATATAACGCCAAACATTCGGTAGAATTTATAGAATATTGTAAATATATATATATATATATATATATATATATATATATATATACTACATTTTAATTTAGATTATCAACATCTTCGTTCTGCCAAAGCACCATTTCTTCATCACAACTCAACATCCAATCTGAATGAAACTTTCTGCTTCAGACGCCAGAAACACTAGCTCTCTGCATAAATTCAAATCATCATAAAAAATTAAATATTTTATTGTAGCTTTTAATGAATTTTATTCTTTGTCTTTTTATTTTAATTTTATCGTTTACATTTTGATTTTATTTTTGTGGCTTTTAACCATCACAACTTTCATTTTTAATTATTTTTTTCGTTCGGTTCGGTGACAATTATGGCGAGGACGCCTCAGTCGCTTGTTTTGGCGCTTCAAAAATGACATTAATATTATTATATATAATGTATATATATAATATATACATATAATATAATTATATTTCTATTCGTTTACATAATATGTTCTAACCGTTAACTGGGCTTTTAATATGTTTTGTTTTACAACACTTTTCTTCGAGTTCATAGATAAGTTGTTCTGGCATGCCTTAGAAAAGTTTTCTAAATCAACTGAAAATTTTCTTTTGCTTGTCCAAAACTGGTCATTTAAATAAGCCAAAACTTCTCGTTTTTTAATTTCATGTGCCTTTTTATCCCATTTTACTGTCTTGATTTTATTTGTTAAATCACTGATTACCTTTTCTTCATTGTTTTCACTTGATGAAGAAGTTTACAAATCAACAAAATGATCATTAGTTTCTGCATGTAACTATAGATAACTAACAATTTAATAACGTTACGCGAATGAATGATGTTTCTTTCTTCAGTGAAACTGTTGATTTCTTCAAAAAAATTTTCCTCCGTGAGATTCGCAATGCACATCTCAATAAGTTCTCGAATCAGCGCACTGTTGTTGAATATAGAGATAAACAAGTTAAGAAAAATAAATAGAAGTTTTATGAATGTGTAATTACCAGTATATTACATACAATGAGCCGTTTAAAATAAAAGTATTTTAACCTGCAGTCTATTTTGTTTTACAAAAACTAACAACTATCACAACCGACGATCGTTCGAACATCCGAGAAAAAAATATCGCTAGCACAGTTATCAATAATTGCTTTTGGATCAAGAAATAAAGAAATGAACTGTTGTGTGCAGTTTTCATCGATTTACCAAAATAAACAAAAAATCGTTCTTGCAGTTGAAAATGAAAAATGCCGATTTAGAGGGTTGAAAATTCAAAGTCGTTAGGAAAGCATTGATAATTTGACAAATACGCTGCAGGAAATGTTTAACGAAAAAACTAACGATCGCTTAGTTCAATGTATAAATAACAAAAGTATTGTATTTCTGTATGATAAATACATAATATTATACTTTATAGAGTTACAAAATAACAAAGATTCATTTGTATGCGAATTTCATGTCCAAAACAAAGTGTGGCATAATGAATAATAACAAAAAGATGACTAGGAAAAAATATATGAAATAACAAATGGACCAAATTCAATTTAAGTTCAAACACACCTATTCAAAATTCATAACAAGACAATTATAGGAAAAATTATTAAATTGAAAAATTTTCATCATATAAAATCTTTAAAAAAACAAGTTAAAAAACCAATCATCCTGTAATTTAAAACGAAACAATTTATACAAGTCTATAAAAAGTTATTTGAGCTCCGTGCCGTGAATTAGTTGGCCCATCGGTGTGCATGTTTAGATGATCAAAAATTGAATAAGATAGAAAAGTTAAAAATTGGCTCAACCTTCAGGTGGAGCAGCATAATGACTCGGCATCGAAGATTTTTGCTGTCTTTATGTATGTATGTGTGTGCTTGAATGCTGTATTGGTTTGCTATATGTTTAATTTAAAAGTAACCAAACAAAAATGTACCAACCATTCTTGGCTTACATCGTCTGCAAGCTAAAAAAATAAATCGTTAAAAAATTGTTTCACTAAAAATGGAATATATAATGTAAAATAAAATATATGTTAACACTTGTTAAAAAAATATAAACACAAAAAAGAAATTAATTGAAAATTAATTAGTAAACTAAAAAATATAATTTAAATTAATAAGTTAAAAAAAGGTCAACTACACTCTTCCAAAGTTCAGAGGATTCAACAAAGCGCACAAACATCGTAAATGAATACGTGCTAAACGACGCATCACACACGAAGCATGTGATAGGCGGGGATCTTTTTGTCATATTCGAACCCGGTTACTGCGAAACAGCACCAGGCGACCTTAACCATTAGACCATCACGCCGCCCAATGAAGTTAAACAATCACGAAATGTTGAATATTTGGCAACCAACTCGAGTTCTATTTGTGAAACAAATAATGCCATTCATTAGTTTCAAAACATGTTAAAATTTTGAAAAAATTATAAACTGTTTCCAGTGAACAAAAAATATTTTTCTTACAAAACTTTTGAACAAATGCTGAGGTAAAAAATGTCTTTATTACAACTTTTCATTAATTAGAAAAAATAGAAATTGACACCATACTATTTGTTATTAGACCTGTCAGCCGAATATTTTTAGAAGTTTTGACCGACTATCATAAAATTTCGACTGACGGTTAGCCAAGTTTCATTCGGCGGCAGCTTATAGCGACTTTTCTTTGGCTAACGGTTGGTAATCAAAATACTTGTCTTATTTTGTTTATGGCGCACGTGTAGTTGATTAACGTTTTGAGTAATTTTTTAAATGAATTTTAAACAAAAAATAATTTTCAATATTTTCAAAAATCAATTTTCAAAAATTGTTACATAATTGTCACAATCAACTTCTTCACAACATCATCACAACTATCATCTCCATCGTCATCACCTCCATCTCCATTCTCCATCATCATCATCATCATCACCAATAAGATAAACATTCAATAGAAAATATTATATCATCAATTGTCTCACCAGATTCATTCTTGACATAATTAAAATTATCATGTACGAACAAAATTTTCACTACATTGTTAAATGCCAATAAAGACATTTTGCCATTGCAGCAATAGAAAACATTGATTCAACTGGTATACATTTTGTAAAGTATCTAATGTTTTGTATTCTATATAACAAAATATTTTCAGTTTGCTAAAATATAAGTATAAAAATTCATTGCAAATTTTTGCATCACAACTGTTTATAAATGTGTTTTATAAGTCTCAAATTAACGTTCGGTGGCTGGTTCGGCTAGCCAAAAAAATATTCAGCGACTGACGGCTAACAACAAAAATTCTACTGCAACGGCTAATGGTTGCTATCTATTTGCTATCAAGCAATCAATGATTTCCCACAACCTCATGCAGTATCATTGAAGTCAATGGTGTTTTTCTTTCTTGTCAATTTTCTAAATTTTTTCTTTATTTGGCCAGTTTAATTAAATTCATTGTTCCCATTCTGTAATGTCATCCATTCATTTTTTGGCAGGTGTTCTAGTTCTAACCTTTTTTAGTGTTCCCTAAACACATTTTTAATAAGCCTGTCAACCGACTTTTGTGAATGTATCTGCAAAAGTCCAAGTTTTATTTAATTTTTCATGTATATTATATTATTATGTTTTATGTATTACACAATCTGGGCATATACTTTTTCATATACATAACTTATTCGTCGTCTTTTTTTATTTCAAGACACAATTCGTTGTATTTCCTCCCTCTTTCTCTTTTTGTTATCTAATATTTCTTCGTCACCCTTTAAAAAGTTTTATTGTTTCACGCTTTTATAATACTTTTCTTGATTTTACAAACTTTCGCCTGCTTTGAAGCTACTTCTAGATTGTTTATTCTGTTTTCTTTTAGTGGCGTGGCCAGAAATTCTGATTTTTTTTGCTTATTTTCTTTTTTGTACTAATTTTCGTAATCAAAAACATCCTCTTGCTAATTTTTTCATTAATTTTTCATTTTATTATTAGTTTGTAGAATAATTCAGCATCTTCATCTGAGTGATATTTTTGTTCATTAAGCTACTACATCAATATCACTCGGATATTTTTTAAACCCTGCATATATCATGCTTTCATATACTGAATTGTATTAGATATTAAACTTGTATTACTTACAGTCAACCGCAGACTAAATGTTTTAGATAGAAAGAACGTTGCTAGATGTACAAGAAAGTTCTTTTCGAACTCCGTATTTGGCAAAAATATGTAGTTAGTATCGAAAGAAAGAGAGCGTGCAGATCGATAATATAAAACTACAGACGGATAACAATTTAATTGTTTTAGGCCGTTTAAATATCAACAGCCTTGAGTAACAAATTTCTAGCAGTCAATGAATTAATCCGAAATAAAAAAAACTTGACGCTTTGGCCATTAGTGAAAGCAGGCATTTCTCGTCCAACGAAGTGGGTTTGCTTTGTAGTGTTGGAGTCGGATGAAAAATATCCGACTCTGTATTCGATTTCGGCCCCTCAAAAAATCCGTCTCCAGACTTCGACTCTGGCCCTTCAAAAAATTTAGACTTCGACTCCGTGTAAAAATTTCTGACTCCGACTTCCGACTCCGATTTTCGGCTCATACTTCCAGAAAGATTTTTTAACTTTTGCATCATAATTTCACCTTATTATCACTATTAAATAGAAAATACTTGAAAAAATCACTTAAAATCAGTTAATGTAAATGTTTTTCAAAGTAAAATTGCTGTAAAACTATGTTTTAAAACATACTGAAAAAATTTGTCATGTTTTGGATCATAATTTCACCATTTCATCACTACTGAAAATAAAATAATTTAAAAAATACTTAAAATCAGTCAAAAAATTGCTACACACATTTATTTTCCAAAAATACCGTCTTAAAAATTTTCAGAAAAAAAATAATTAAAAAAAAAAATTAATAACATTTTCCGGAGTCAGATGAAAAAAAGTAAAGACTTGGTCACATGCAGAGGCGTAGGCATTGAGGGCTTTGGAACTGAAGCCTTTCTTCTGTTGCGGTTGCGCTCATGTATGAAAACGATAAACCTGGAAGTAAGAAAATACTAAAACAGGAAGTAAGAGATTACTAAACCAGAAAGTAAGAGAACACTAAACCAGGAAGAGCAGTGCGCATGAGTGAAAAGAAAAGAATAGTATTCGTTTGGACAGGCTGGACACGTGTCTCGTCCATACCAGAAATTCATCAGCAGCCTAAATACCTATCAAAATTATATCACAGTTTCTCCTTCCATAGCCCCCACGAATCACTTCGTTAGTTTTTGGTGTTTTTATTTGTTTTGAGGATCGTTAGTTTTAATCTTTAGGGTTTGCGATCCGACACAACACAATAGATAATTATGCTAGGGCTAAGGCTAAATAGAATATTAATTGAAATTTATTTATATAAAGTTGTAAAAATTTAGATTAAAAACAATATCACAACTATTTCACTTCCAAACTACTTTACAATTATCTAATTTTGTTCAAAACCACTGGTTTTAATAGCAAAATTTTTTAAAAATTGTGTCATAGGCAAAAAAAGGTTGTCAATTTTTTTTAATTTAAGCTGCCCACAATAAATTTCTAGCTGCACCACTGGTTAAGTGTGCACTTGTTAATCGCTGAAGAAGTTAGATCAAATTAATTTTAAATATAACGAACAATCACCATTAGTAAAAAAACTCGCTTTTTAACAAACGCCAATAATATAACGATTATGATTTGTAAAACCATGCCCTCAAACAAAAAAAATTCAAGCAAGTGAAAAAATGAACTTACGAATCGACATATTTTTTTTATAAATACTAACATTTGCTGTTTTCGAATAACATGAAACTTTTTGTATTATTTCCAGCTGATCCAAAGCGTCTTTCAGAGTCGGTAATATTTGAATAGCTTCTATCGCATCCATTATCCTCTACATTATATATTTTTCAAGCTTTATTAACTGTCACTAACAGGAAATCGTTTTCAAATCAAAAAAGGTAAACTAAGCGATATAACTAATACGAAAAAAATCCGAGCAGGTAAGTTACGTTCAAAAGGAAAAATCATAGCATAACATAAAGTTAAATTTGAGCTGATTTCAAAAGCTTTTTTGGCACCATCGATCTTATTGAAGTGCCAATTCCAGGTGAAATATCACTCAACTCAGAGATCCGGATTATACCATTTAGACAGCAGGAGTTTCATCAATAAGAAGCCCTAGATAAATAACTATAGACTAAAAAAATTAGTCTTATATGCTTATGCTGATTATAATATAAAAATATCTTTTAATAACGCTTTAATTTAATTGATTAATTCCATTAACTGAAAAAAATAGTTTAATAGTGCTTGATAGCTTTATTTACAAAAATTTGTTTCATGATTTGATAATCAATAACAACAATTATACAAATAATGTGAAATTCACATTAACTTAACAGCCTTAACTTAACTCTTGAACTTTTTGTCAGTACATTATTTTTTTTAAATTTTATTTCCCTTAATGTTGAAATGAATACTGGTTTTCAAACTTTAATAAAAAACCAATCAATAACGAAAACAGTTGCAAGATGAAAAAAGTTTCCTAATTAAAAAACAAGTGTAGAAAAGGTTTAATTTAATTAAACATTGAATTATATTATAATTATATTAAATACATTTCATCCAGGTAATGAAATGAATCTGAACATTGACCTGGAAGCAATTACATCATTACACTGTAATTTTACGCTGTAGTGCAAACGATCACCAGCCCTTGAAATCCTCTGCATCAATTATAAAATGGATGGAAGCAATTCCAGTTTAAAATTCCATAGATTAAAACGATTACATTAACATTTACATTTTACATTAGTTAACCATAACATTAACATTTAACATTAACTGAACAACATCACTAACTTGATGATACTTGATGATATAAATTTTCGATCATTTAATAGCAACCTATTTTGTATATGTTAATAAAAATTTAATATTTTAATAATTTAATATTTAATTTAATTAATTTTAATATAATTTTAACAAAGAATAACAATAATTTTTTAATTAATTTATCATTGCAAATAAAAAATCATTAACAAATTTTGATAGTTTTTAATAACCTTAACTAAGTCTAATTATAAATATTTATTTAGTTATGCTTTAAAAATTCATGTTAATAGATCTAACACAGGCACAAATAAATAACGATAACCATCTAATAAATGTAAAAAAGATGTTGACATAAGGTAGCCATAGCAACAATCTGTTGAACCTGTAAGAAAATTGTGAGCCGCATATTTGCTTTTTTTATTTTTCAATTCTTTTATTCAATAAAAGTTAGATCTAATAAATGTTGTTGTAAAACGAATAACAAAATTCAACATAATTATTACAAATACTATAAAATTGGCAATCTTTCAATTTAAGTGCCCCAATTCTTCCACGTAGTGCACACCAGTAAAATTGCAATGGTTTTTTTTATTTAAGTTTCTATGTTTTTAATTGCTTATCGGCAATAGTGTCATTAGGTTAGGTGAAAAAACAAAGGGAAAGGTGATTTCATGTGGAAATTCCTGATTGAAGAGCTATAACACTTGAATCACTAATTTTGCAGCATATCTTGCCAAGTTCATACATAGTTTCAGATTGTATGACAGCATATAGGGAGAAATATAAAATACATGCACTCAGCCGTGATACACCAACAGAATTTTGTAGATAACAATGATGACATTGACAACAATAACAACAATGACAAAACAAAAGTTTACACAGAAAACTAAAAATGTTCGGAAACGGGCCAAGAGAGAAATTCGTCGCCTGTGTGGAACATCAATAGAACTGTTTCTGTCAATAAACAAGAAATAATGACAAATGTTGAATGAAGTGGCGAGGTTGAAAATTTGTCTTAAGATGAATCGTATAAAAAACATTTGATGAGGTTAAAACCGATGCCAAAAAAGAATTAAACCGCTGTTTGAGTTTGACTGATGAATCAAAACTAGAGTATTGAGTATTAGAGTAAAACTCTTGTTGAGAAATGGCAAGCAAAAGTTTGGTGGCGTGATGGCTTAAATTTTAAGGCGCCTGGTATTGCTGTGACTGGTTTCGAATTCAAAGAGATCCCCACCTTTCATATGCAATGTGTATGATGCGTGGTTTTCACTGTGTGCTTGTCATAGATACCTCTGAAGCAAGTGCAAAAGAGGAAATAATCCTTAACCTTCAACTATTTTGTACTTTATAGTTAAATCCCTTCGTTACAAGTATCAGTACACGATATAATATCCAGTAAATAAACTGACGTTATCATTTCTCAACCAACGTTATCCTGAAGTTGTGAAGATGCAGCAGCAACAAAATATCAGATTAGCAGAAATTACTGTTGACAACGCCACCATGAAAGACCCTCTTGTACAACCTATTTATGTTGTGGTGACCTGATAACAAAAATTGTCAATCCGCTCAACAATGAAACAATTTTTTTGTATTCGATTCGGTTCAAAACATTTACAACACTTTTTGCAAACCGGAAAATTTTTTACTTTCTTTACTCGAAAGTAATTTTATAAAATTTGCTGTAGTCATGCTTGAACAGGCGATGTCAAAGAAAGCTCATAAGCTTACCTGTGGACGTCTCGATATTTCTAATTGATGGTAAACTAATCTTATCAGGTTTTCAAATATTGTAGCATGCGAACATATCAACGTATGGCATAGAATTTTATTTTTTTCATAAAAAGATAATGCAATAGGGTTAACAAATAAATGGTATAAATTTAATAAATTATTTCATTACCAATTGAATAACTTAAAAATTGTTAATTAAATTTTAATTATAAAAATTGCTTAATTTTCGTTTTCTATAAAGTATATTTTCAACATTAGCATTTTCATTGACATTTTTAATCAAATTTGTTGACAGGCATTAAAAATTGTCCACAAATCATTTCTTTGACGTCATGGGTTAATGTGCGATACATGTTTCCAATGATAATATCATCCGGAGCGTGCCGGAAGATTTCTTTTGAATAATTGATTTCAAAAACATCTTCAGAATCATTTTCGGAAAGAAATTCGGTTAAATATGACTTGAGACAAGAAAGTGAATTTAAAAGTTAGCTCATCCTGTTAAATTTTTGTCAAGAGTGCCCACCATAAAACATAAATGAGGATGGCAATTTTATTCCTTTATGGTAACTACAGGATCAATTCTTTGCTTACATCAATCACTCATTAATGATAAAATTAAAATAAGAGTGGAGCAGTTATTTTTAATGGTCATTTCATAAATGATCAAAAAATTGCCGGTCTATTTGTACTCATACCCTAATGGGAAAGTATTTTTTTGAGTAATCTGCGCAATAACTCATCCTATCTACAATTGTTTAACAATTCGTTTTTGAAAAATTCAGCATCAGCTTTTTCTGCATTTTTTGAAATGATAAATACATCTATATTAATAACTTGTGTGCAGTTGTGCACACAAGGAAACAAAAACAAAAGTTATAGAAAAAAATATTTTTGAGAAAAGCTAGCAGTCGCTTATTAACGAACGTTCAGTTTTAACCTATGAAGGAAAAATAAAAAGTGCAGTAAATTAGATGTTTTTATGAAATAAAAAATTATTTTAGGTTTTTTATGATATTTAGTCATAATTGTGGACTGGTTAGGATTAGGTAGTGGCGAAGCGAAAAAAACTAGCGCACGGTGCATGACTGCTGTTTGGTGCCCCTTCCACCATGTAAAATGAATTTTTTTTAGGTGAACTCGAAGAATGAACAACAATAACTTTAATCGGATCAACCAGCAATCTAACAATGATGATGATAATAACAACACCATCAAAAAGAACAGCAATAATAATAATAACTCTAATGGGAACACCTTTTTATTTTCATCGTAAAAACATACTTGAAATGAAAAAAACAATATTGATAAAACAAAATTAGTAATCAAAATTAAAATACAGTTAAATGTCATGAAATAATATCAGAAGCTCGTCATTTTATAAAAAAGAATGTATACCACGAAACCAGATTAGTCCTAAATAGTTCAATTAACTTGCATTTCTATCACAGTAAATACTATATGATGACGAAATTGCTGCATAAATAAGGTTGTTGGTAAAATCATCAGTCCATATTAAGTTAATGAGAGACAAATCAAAAGTATTAAAACAACCTAAAGGGAATATTTCAAATGTATTAATTATAACGTTAGAGTGTTTATAACTATCGGTCAAATTATTTTGCAAATTATGTGAGTACTTCGCCATTTTATAGTCTTTTGATTTCAGAAAGTTTGTCTCATGGTAAACCGTGAGCTCCAGGATTTCAATGTTGCTATCACAAAGTAGTGCGATGTCAGGACGTAGCGTCTTGAAGAGGCAGGATAGTGGCTGATATTTATCTTGATTCGCGTCTGCATACATGGAGACGTCAGGGCCTGCGCATGATTTCAACCTGTCCAATATTATTGAGAGAATTTTGTTGTGACGTGTTGTAGATCGCTTCAGCGCCGACGCCGCGTCACAATTTGATAAAACATGTTTGTCTGTTTGGCAAGCACTGCATAGAGGACATTGTGCAGTGGATGATTTTTTCCTTTATTTGAAGTTTGGCGTTTGTCGGAAGTTGTTAGATTAAACTTATCCTGACAAATTTAAATGGAATTTCCGAAAGGCATGTTACGTAGCTCGACCAACGATCTATGCGAGCAGCTGGGATGTGTGCTTGACTTGATTTTAATAATGTTCCTTGACATTGAAGGGATGTCAGATGATTCAAAGCTGCGGTTTGTTGTTGTTCTTTTATTGCTTTAAGCGTCGATTTGATGTCGTTGGCGTCAGGGAGCATATTAACGATTTTAATGAAGTCGCTGAACGATTCGCTCCACAGACATTTTAACTCCTCATTTCTATTGAGTTTTAAACAGTTGCGATGTTTGATCCTCAAGGATTGGGCGTAATGTTTGAAAGATCCAATGTTCAATCCACCCAGTTTGAAGAAAAGTGTTAAGCTCTCTGGCAAACAACTACTGATTGGCAATGACAGCCACATTCTTACTACCTCTACCTCCAATGGGTCAAGGCAGCTGCAAATCCAGTTCAACGAGACATCGTTTGTCCTAAGCTCAAAAGCCAGTTGTGATGGTATGTATCGTCTTAAGATTTAGAGCTTCCACTGGGCTGACGTATCTAGTTTGCCGATTCGCGAGAACAAACCTTTCAATTTACTAATTAGCATTTTCTTGGCTTCTGTGCCCTTTACTTCAAAATCATAGATTTTGCCCAGGTATATGAAATGCCCCCCTACTTCGAGTTGAGGAATAGTCCATCGTCTGTGGTCGGCTTCGGAAGGAAATGTTCGTAAACACTATTTTTTTTCCTCATGCCTAATCTTATTTGCATACCAGTTTTGTTACAACAAGCCTGGTTGATGTCGATTAAGTTTTGAGCAATTTCCGTGCAATTAGCAATAATTGCCGTATCATCGGCGAACTCTACCCATGCTCTCGTTTTCATTTGGCTGTGGGTCCCCAAATGTAGCTGCATTGTTGATATTCAGGCTTTTCCAGTATTTTCATTGAGGGGTTGAAGCACAAGTTGAACAGCAGAGACAAAAGGGGGTCTCCTTGGAGCACGCCATGTTTGACCCGGATAGGTAGTGTAAGTTGATCGCAACCGAAACTGATATGGTATAGTCGGCGTACGTGAATTTTATTAAATCGGCGATCAGCCGCTCAGTCTCATTCTTCACACAGGTTTACACCACTAGCTTCACAAGCTGCCTCTTTACATTTACAGCATAATGCCGGTCTTATTAACTTTACAATTTTTTTGATATGGCAACGAAATCTTTTTATAAAATTTATTATGAAATTAAATATTTGTAGATTGCTGTATTGTTATTTTCTGACAGAGTTCTATTAAAAGCTCAAAAAGCAATTTTCACCTGGATATAAAATTGTTCATATTTTTTGATATAAAATTCAAAAATTTGTTTCCACAATATCTAGTGAAATTGCAGAACACTGGAAGCCGGTACAGCGCAGAGCAACGAAGATGATCGAAGGAATTGGAAAACTAGAATATAGAAATAGACTGAAAGAATGCGGATTAACAACACTAGAAAGTAGAAGATGCAGAGAAGATCTGATTCAGACATAAGTTAATAACTGAAAAAAAAGAAACACCGTTCACCAGGTTCTTTCAACTAGAAAAAGGAAAGGATTAAAAGGTCATAGATACAAGTTCTTCAAGAAAACAGAAAATCTAATAAAGCAAAGATTCTTCAACGATTCTGGACCGAGCTGAGCGACGAAGTTGTCTCAGTGGATTCAGTCAACGATTTCAAAATCAAGCTAGGATATTAGGACATTTATTTTTTAGTGGTTCTTACACAGATGCTAGTCTACTGAACCACTTTAAGTTTAAACTTTGTTATTATATTATGATATTAATACTGCCAAAGTCCATTTTCTAGTTACAGATTTATAAATCATTTGCCTAGCTATCGATTCCAATTTATAATTGTAAAACAATATACTCTTATGCATTCTTTTATTATTTTTATCAATCATACTTCTTTTATGTATTGATGACATGAAAACAATATTTTTTAAATTAAAATTTTAATAAATAAATTTTTTCTGATTCACATTCATGAAATAATAATGAAATAATAAATAAAATTTATCTCAGTAGCATTTTTAATAGGAATTTTTCTATTTCGAAGTTTTTTCAGCCAACATTTTATCAGATCCAATGATGTAGAAAAATTATCTATTGTTATATTATAGCCTTTATTAAAGTATGGTTCAACTTGAGTTATCAAGACATGTGTTTCCAATGAACCAAGTCTATACCCAAATACGGTTTTACTTTCAAACAATATTTTGTGTTACAGCCACCTAAAACCTAAAATTTTATTCCCAACTCATTTGGCTTATAAGGCATACTTGAGCATTTGATTTGAAAAGAAAACCACTGTCAATGAGTAGTTTGGTATGAACACCATCTGTTTTTATTGAACCAAAAAATTAAACTGAACATAATGAATTTTTTTATCATAAACAATTAACTGCCTTCATATAAATTTTTTATCAAACGTTATGAACCTTTTGGTCTTTTTTCAAATTTTGCCTTTTCATTGCAGAACTAAAAATTTGCCAACCATAATTTTTAGACCTATCAAAATCAATAAATTGATCATAATAATTAAATTAAAATAATAATCACATGTGGATAGATCATCCTTTAAAATTAGAGATTGGAATCGAACCAAACCCGAACCGAACTCGAACCCTACTTGTGACCGAACCGAACCCGAACTTTGCTCATGGCCGAACCGAACCCGAACATTAAAACTGCCGAATACGAACCGAACGAACCTTTCTAATGTTATCCAAAAATCATTCGTCTGAAAATTATAGTTCTACTAATGATGGAAGTAGATGCATGCATTATCGACGGTCTAAATATTACAAATGACCGACAGCCAATGTAATCGTGATTAATTATAAATTAATTTTATAATTTTTGGTACGAAGAAAAGAAAGACCTGTCATTTGCGAGTGCAGAAAATCGCGGGTTTGTTTATGCTGAAATGCAAAGCACGGTAAATAAAACTGAGTCATCCATACCACCTGAAATCATACCAGAGCATTTTGATAAAACACATCTGGATCTGGACAGTGTTGGAGAATGTAGCTATTCAGATCATCGGCCGCCATTAAAAAGACTTAAAACTGACACTGAATTGGATTTACTCACAAATTTCAAAACAGCTGCAACTCCCCTATCTAATTATGACAAAAACAACAAAAGACACGAACAGGATAAATATTTGGCGCTGCCTGTAACTGGCTGTCCCGCATTGCAATTTTGGAAGGAAATGATGTCAAACACAAGCTTCCAAAAATGGCATTGATTGCTAGAAAGTTGTTAGCTATTCCTGCCACCAGTACAGCTAGTGAAAGAGTTTTTTCAGCATGCGGCGTGACATTGAGTGACCGTAGGGCTAGGTTGAATCCAGAAACATTAGAAATGTTAATGTTTTTAAAATATAATATGCAGCTTTGAAATCTTTAAATATCATTCACTCACATGGTAAATCATTTACTGCATAGCATTTTTTAATAGATTTGTGTACTTTATTTCGTCTTTTAAAAGAGAAATTGTTATTGTCTTTATTGTTTCATTAATTTAAAGCTATAATTTCAATCGTATATCCACTAGTTTTTATTACGACTAATTAAGTCGATCAAAATCTCATCGAACCGAACCGAACCCGAACTTGTTGAGACCTGACCGAACCGAACCCGAACTTTAGGCCTGACCGAACCGAACCCGAACTTTGAACCCGACCGAACCGAACCCGAACTTTGGACCTGACCGAACCGAACCGAACCCGAACATCAAAGGTAGGGCTCGATTCCCATCTCTATTTAAAATGCATAAATAACATAAAAACTTATGCAAACTACAGCACAGGCCATTTGACCCATTTAGCTGTTATAGGTATACAAATTTCTCGGCTGTTCTAGTGTTAACATTAAAAAAAAAATAATTTATTTATTTATCAACACAACTGACCAGAGACCTACAATGGACCACTTACCCAGTAGGTAAAAACAAAATAAACTTAATTACAACCAAACAAAATTGCAAATAGAAAAATAAATAAAATCATTGAAAATAAAAGTGTCATCATTTCTTTTATCAATCAATCCATTCACTCAATCAACTAGTTAATAAAACGCTATTTCCGCAATGTTCAACAGCGTTCCTCAATGAATTTTGTAAACCGGAGCGTTTAGATTCAATTAATATCAGATAAGTATTTAGGAAATAATTTAGATTGAGACTTATACAATTTAACAATGCCTAATACCGGATACTAATCCCACAACTTCTAAATTTTCAATCTAAATGAAACATTACTTTAAGAAAGCGATAATAAGTACAAGTAATATGCTATTTAACTTTATTAATTCATTATAATATGCTAATTGCCAGTTATCGACTATATGCATGATGCCGCCTTTTATATTACAAAGGCTTTTAAATTCATTCTACATATATGATTCTACTATATATATTAAATATGGAAATGGAATATGAAACAAAGTTAATCGACGTTCCATACTTAGCTAAGCATTAAGTTATAAAGTTTGCGTGAGGGTCGTCACTTACGTTATTTGTTTGTAAAGTTGCAAAGAATCGTTGTTACGTTCTGATCCGTTTTTGAATTTTATTTTTATTGAATTACCTAATTGGAATTGTTATTAAGAAGATGAGTAAACTTCAGTTAGGTTTAAAAGAAAGAGATCAACTGTACCGGTTAATGATCAGGTAAATTTCTCGCTTTCTCTCTCTCTTCCTCCCTCTTTTCTCACTCTTTCTCTTGGTAAAAGTTAAGTTTCGTACCAGAAATATACTTGTCTGACCCTCTGTGCAATTATTTTTGTGAGATAAGCATAGAAGTGAGAGTATACTATAAATAGATTTAAAAGTGAACTTAGATTATTAATATTAAAAATTAGAATGTTAATGTTAATCTCTAATCTAATCTCTTGATACATGAAATAATAAACTAAACACTTTAATATTAATTTGTTTAGTAATTTTAGTTTAAGCATTTAAATTAAAATGAAACAATTTGAAATAGAATAACATATTGCCATATTTACAATGGAAATGTTTTTAAAAAGATGAATTCATATTTTTAATGCTGGTAACATATTAGTTACAACTCCTTCCTTCTGCCACTCCAACATATCGTGAAGACCTGACCGCCATGTACTCGGAACTTGAAAAGACATTTAAACAGATGAGGCTGGAAAAGATTAAAGTGCAGGAGAAGCTGTTGGAGAAGGAAAAAGATTTCATCGAAATGTAGAGGTCCCTGCAACTGTGGATGAACAGCTGGAAAAAGAATGCTCTCAAGCCGCAGAAGAAATAGAGATGCTTAAATATGGTGAGGAAAGGTTGAGAAAAGAGAAGGATGATTTAGTGAAAAATCAAAGTTTACTCAGTCAACTAATGCAAGAGAACATGAAGACTTTGCAGCAGAAGCACGAAGACCTACCCGGCATGTCTAGCAATAATAATCAAATATCGGATTTAAATGCTGATAATGGTGCAAGTGAAAAGTCAGACGACTCTGATATACATTCATACGATTTAACCAACCCCAAATCTCTAACAGATTCCATGATGTCAGAAAATTTCTGATCAACTTCAGGGATTGTGCAATCTGATCCTTTCAATTCAGATATGACGTAATTGCTGTAATATGCTGTACTGCATAACTGCTGTAATTAGTAAGTTGGTTATGGTAATGCATGGTAGGCAGGAAAATAAAATTTAAATGCATTACTCGCAGTAGGCTTGAAAGTCTGTTGTGGCAATGTTGAATGTCTGACCTGGAAATTTCCCGAAAAACAAACAGACGGTTATAAATAGATTAAGTCTGCTGTATTTAATTTTAACTTCTCTAATTTTTTAAATTGCAAATTAAGTTAGCAGCGATGTTTTAAATAAATAATATTAGAAGTAACTTTGAAATGAAAAGCTAAATTCTAGAATGTCATTTATGCTATATATATAAGACTATATGTTAATATTTAGGTTCATTTTTTTATTATTACATTAATGATGTTGAACATTTGCATATAATGATCAGGTTGCTTGCTTTCACCAATTTCAATCCTAACTAACACATTTCAAATTTTATTAATCTAAAACTTTCAAAGTGCATATGTTCATTATAATCTATATTCACTTTTTGCTTTATTTATACTCTCACTTCTATGCTTATCTCACAAAAATATTTGCATGTGTAGTCAGACAAGTATACTTTTGATAATTATACTAATAATTAGCAGCTAATTATGCGTATATTATGCAAAAAGTGTATTTTTTATAGCTATAGTATGCATAATTAACTATGTTGGGTACAAAACTTAACATTTGCTAGTCTCTCTTCTGCAATGGCCATAACTGACTCAGTCATATCATCTCTTCTCTCATTTAATTTTAATATTAATTTAATACATTAATTCATTTGGTCAGAGCCTTTGCCTGCTTTGTGTACTCGAAATTTATTCAAAGTTTTTTTAACATTTATTTACATTTTTTTGCACCATTATAATTGTAATATTATACTAGTGAAGTCTGTAGTGTAGTGTACAAAATGTACCTTGGGCACAAATTTTTCCAGTTTTCTCCCTCCAACTCTGATGCTGCAAAATAGCTTAACTTAAGATTACTCGGGAATAGCCAGAGAAAGTTTATCAGCAAACGTTCAGTTTCGTGAAATGATCAATATTTTTAAGTTTTTAATGGTTTTTAGTAACAATTGTGAATGTGAATTGGTTCGTATCAGGATTAGGAGTTAGGGAAGTTTATTATTATTATTATTAATTTATGTTCTATGTATAGCTTCAGAGACACTTGGATAAACAATGACTTTTGGCATTTTCGTAGACCTGGATAAACAAAAAGTTCTTTAATCGTTTTCTAAAAAATTTGATTGTTGGTTGTTGACAAATAATGGTGGACAAACCATTCCATATGGAAAGAGAGCTGTACATAAAGCATTTGTTGACAACTGATGAATTGCTGACAGGTTGATGCAACTGAGTATGTGAAGACGAACGAAGTTGATGAGCGGCGCGATATAAGTTGATGAAGATATGATGGTTGAGATGTATTAAGTAATTTGTACGTGAGGATGGCAAGTTTAATTATAATGCGTTGATGTACTGGTAACCAATGTAGTTGAATGAGTGAATCTGTGCTGGAAGGTAAATTATTGATATTTAAAACAACTTTTGCAACTCTATTTTGAGCTCCTTGAAGTAAAGTTAAAAAGTAGGAAGGAAGACCGTAGAGAAGAAAATTACAATAATTTAAACAGGATAGTACAAGACATTGAGCCAATGTCGAAGCAATATCTTCAGTGAGAAAATTACGAATATGATGAATAGTCCACGTATAATGGTTACAGGATTTGATCAAAACTAAGACATGAGAATTAAAAGATAGAGAAGAGTCAAAAGTTTAGTCTAAAAATTTAAGTTTAGAAGTTAAGGAGAGAAAAGTATCAGCCAATAAAACAAGTGATGGGGAGAACATTTGATAAGAATTTGCAGAGTGCCAATAATACTTCAGATTAACTTACTTCAGATATATAACTTCAGATTTGTGGGGATTTAGCTGAAGAAAGTTTGATAAATGCCAATCGTTTATGGCCATAGTACATGCATTTAAGTTGTCAAGCTGAGATATATGATTAGAAGTGGGAATTTTAGCTATTATACATGTGTCGTCAGCGTATTGATAAAAGAGTAAGCCAAAAGTTTTAATGATATTAGAAATAGGAGAGGTATAAGTAGCGAAAAGAATGGGACCAAGAACAGATCCTTGGGGAACTCCAGTAGATAAGGTGTAGCTAGAGGAAGAAGGGGAGCCAAGTTTAATATATTAAGAACAATTAAAAAGATAAAATTGAAACCAGGATAAGGCAGATCCCGTGATTCCATATTCTGCCTCAAGTCTGTCAATAAGCATCTGATGATTAGTGGTATCAAAAGCTGCTGAAAGATCCAGGCTGACCACTACAGCACAATTTTGGTTTCCACATATGTTAGCAAGTTGGTTGTGAACATGAAGAAGCGCTGTTTCTGTAGAATAACAATTTCCCTAAGCGGATTAAAAAGGAGAGATACTAGGAGATGAAGTAATATAAGTGAGAATCCTGTTCAAGACAATGCGTTCAAGTAATTTAGAGAAGGTTGAGAGTTTAGAAATAGGACATACATTAAGTATGTAATGCTTTTTAGTAAAAATTGTAAATTGGTTTGTCAGGGTTAGGAGTTAAGGAACGTTTATTAAACAAATGTTTGCTGACTTTAGACAAGTTTAAAATTACCTATTAGCTTATATGCTGTGGGATTTATCATTTCATTTTTTTTATGAAATTTAAAAAATCTATTAGAAACTTCATGTGTGTTATATATATAACATGTTACTTGTTAACATTCTTTAAACACAAGCAGGAAATATTTGCAACAGATTTTTACACAACTGAATTTTAGGTACTATGTCATATATTTGTCATGTAAAAAAAGTTTTTGGCCTGATATGAAAGAATCACAAATATGTGCAAAAATTGTTGAGCAATTCCCTTGAAAAAAATTTTGATGATGTTTATTCAGATTATTTGAGTTATTTCTTTGAGGTATTCTTATGTAAATAACTTGCTTTCTAAATTATGTCTTTTTCTATATGAAATCTCCTGTAAAATGTTGAGAATTGATTTCATCATTAAATTATTTCTCACATAAATTACAGTCAATTATTTTATGATGGATATCAGTCACTTGCTGTTCAGTTGGCCAACATGACCAAGGCTCATCCTGCCTGTCCTCCATCTGACAGGCTCTTCAAAGTCGTTGCTCTTGGACTACGAACTGAAGAATGTTGGTTTTATCAAATTATTATAATTTTATATACATATATTCTATGATTGTGTTTAAGAATTTAAGAATCAATTTATTTTTTTAAACCTTGCTCAAATATATGTATATATATATATATAAAACAACATTTTACCTAAAAACTATTTGCTGAAAGATCATTTTGCGGAAAAGACATTCTGCCGAAAGACATTTTGCAAAAGTAAATTTTGCCATTAAGACATTTCGCCGAAGGACTTTTTGTTGAAAGACATTTTGCCGAAGAGACATTTTTTCGATGGAAATTTAGACGGTCGTGTATGGCGTAGTGATTAGGTCATTAGAATATTTGACATTATCTTCTCGGGTTCGAAAGCATGCTATGCCATGTGATGGACGCTACGTTTTCATTATGAATAATGCTGTGGCAACGATTGTGCAGGTCGTTTGGAACGCTGTTGAATATTTTCAATCAATCAATTAATATTTATTCAGCGCCGCTTCGTGCTGTTCAACGACTCTGAACAGACTACGTATACAAGTGCACCATCAATCACCGCTTCATATATACATATGATAGCTTTGACATATGGCATAGCCTGGTTTTGAACCTGATGACTCAAACATCGTCGATCAGCGCTCTATCTACTACACTGTAGCTGCAGTAAAATTGCATAATTGCATATTATACTGCATAATAACAGAAAGCAAGTTTACAGTTTTCAATATTTCAGGCACCATTAACTATATAAATAGGGCCACGAGCGTATTGATATTATATTTTCAAGTCAAAATATGTTTCTAAATCGAAATCATAACATAACGATAGGACTACTAATAAAAAAATATTATTTTTCTATAAGGCCACCTATTTAGTTTCAATGATGGTTTAAGCGCTGCACTTCACCAAAACACCAGAAAAACATTTAAGACCTGTTATAAACACTGCTAAAGTATTAACTAAATGGCAGTGTTTGCAGTTTGTTTTCAAAATTTTCTCTTGAGTATTTTTCAGTGCTATCAACATCAAACACGTGCTGCATGTTAACGTGAACAAATCTATGCATCATTCATTGTGTGTGGTAGGTAGGGGTGATGTCTCTTTGTCTTCGAATCCAGTGGCTATGACTACAATGGCATCCTCATTATACCAACCATGTGATTTCATTTCAGTCCAAAGACAGAATAAGCAAATTTTATGTTCCTAAATTACAAAAATGGCAAAATATAATGACATCATTGTCGCTTATAATAATTACAAGAAACATATTTAAAGGTTGAATAGTTACTTGTTAATAGTTAAAAATTAGTTACTTTGTTGTTTAAAAATGTTACATTTCATTTTAATACCAACAGTGTGAATGATAATTAATCCTTTAAATTTTTATTTGCATGTTTAGCCGAACACGAACAAATTGTACAAAAAAACTCAGACCCGATTGTTAGTGGGATTGATATGGAATTTGAGACGGATGGTATGTTTTAAAAAATAAATTATTAATTATTTCTATATGATTAAAAAGTGATTTTTTTTTGTTGAAATTTTGTTTATCGAGTGCACGAGATGCAGAGAATGTTTTTAATTTGAATAGTTTAATTCTTTATAGGCCTAGTTTGGGTACTTTCCTAATCTTATTTAAGATGTTCTACGTATTTCTCTTTTCTCCTTTTAAATTGGCAGATGATGCACAACATTCATAATTTTTCTCTTGTTGTAATTTGATTTTTGCTTATGAAATTGTTTTAAGCTATATTTTTTTGACTTATAAAAAATAACTGAACATAAATCTAAAATTAATTTGTGACATCCAATAAATGCATTTACTTTAACGAAATTAAGTTTCTCCTACATCGCCTGAAATTGCCCAGTATGAAACATGTTATGTAACTGCTCACAAAGGACCTTGCAGGACTGCTATATTTCATCCGAATGGTAAACACTTCATTAATTTTAAATTCATTTTTGTATGTTAGGAATGTTACTTGAAGATTTATTTTCGATTCTCTGTGTAACCTGGTGAACATTTCTGGTGATTGATATTGAATAATTTTTAAAATCAATATCGGTGGATGGTACAAAAATCATTCACTGAGGTTATTCAATATTGGCTCAGAAACGACCTCACAAAATTTGAAAAAAATGTTGTTAAAAAAGAGAACTCCAAGAGGACTGGAATTGTATATTTTTAAAATTTCGGGTCCAACGTTTTTATTTCATTTGAGGAGTATCTTGTCTCTGTTGGGATAAAAGTTAACAAACGCATCTATTAAGAAGTTTTTATTTCATCTGTACAATGCCATGAATAAATAAATAAGGACTGTGTGCATCTTGGTAATTTCCGAGTAAATTTTTTGATAGCTCATTCTTGCGTTAACAATCTTCTAATATCATTCTAATATTATGAATTATTTATCTTTGAACTTGCTATTGTTTTTGCTTCTGTCATACTGCATAAATGTTATTTCTTGAAGTTTTCCTACTTTATTCAAGGTTTTTATTTTTAGTTTTAGTTTTTAATAAAGTTGAATATTATTCATCTTCTGTTTTTTGGTCTATTATTATTATTTTTTTTCAAAAATGTAACTAATAAAAAATTTACTAAATTAAAATAGTATTTTTTCAGTGAATTATCTGATGATCATATTAAACATTGAACATCTTTTTTTTTATTGGGCACTCTTAAAGGCTCATCATCACATGCTTTTTATTGAGTTAAAGAAACATGTTGATTTCTTTAGGTCACCTTATAGCTACAGGGTCAGAAGATGCCTCAATAAAGGTATTATTAAATTTTATTATTATTAATATTATTATATATATTATTATTATATTTCAGTTCAAATTGCAATACAAATTCAACCTTTCAGATATTAGATGTGGAAAGAATGCTAATGAAAAGTGCGATGCCTATAGATCTGATAGCCCAGGAGACCCCTCAACAGCAGATGGAGAACCATCCAGTCATCAGGACCTTATATGACCACACTGCTGTTCGTATAATAAATTCTACCAAGTCTTTTGGTTGCTGAATGAAGAAAGTTACTCACTCGTTTTCAAATGAATCGATAGTTTACATATAGATTAGACTCCTTAAAATTTTTCACTTTTCTTTTTACTAAATAACTGTTGCATAATTAAAAGGAAAAACTTTTCATAAAATCATCTCAGGAAGTGACCTGCGTAGATTTTCATCCATCACAGCAGCTTCTTGCGTCTGGCAGCAAAGATTTCACAGTAAAGTTATTTGAATATTCAAAACCTTCTGTCAAAAAAGCTTTCAAAAGTATTCAGGTTGGAATTTGATAGTTGTTATTTATTTAAATCAGAATTTTATATTTTCAAATGGTTTTGTAAACTTTTTATCGGTCTGAATCAAGAGACTAATTATAATTAGTCTGGACAGCTTAACTATACTTTACTTTACTTGCTTATGACTTAAGACTACCTCGGATGAAAATATCTTTCAGTTTATTTATTATGAATTATGCTTAATAGAATTTCAAAAATTTTCTAAAAAAAATTATCTTAGAAATTAAAGAAAATTTAGTTGTTTCCTAAAAATTTTGATATTATTCGACAGTTTCAAGGTTTATTATTTATAAAATAACGAAATAGTAAATTAAAACAAAACAATAAGGAAATTGTAAATTAAAACAATACAAAATATAAATATACACCTGAAGGAAGCTGCTGAAGTCCGCTGTTTATCATTCCATCCATCAGGAGATTACTTACTTGTCGGAACACAACATCCCACATGTGAGTTTTTTTTTGCTACTCTAGTGCACATTTTTTATATGAACGTAACAATTTTCAAGGTTTAAATTTGCATTTAGCTATCTGATTTTTTTTTATATTTAATAAAAATTTTTTATTTCTACACACTGTTTGGGGTGAATGTTTAAAAATTGAGTGTAATGTGTAATTGTTTTTCTGATTTGTACTATTGCCGTTAGTTTCCATATTAAAATCTGCAAACATTTTTACCATTACCAATTTTATGTTCATTAGATAATAGAAAATCATTATTTAAAAACAATGATTTTCTATTATTGTTATTATTACTAAATTATAATAAATTATTTTTAACAACATAAAAGATTGTAAATATGATTGATTTAAGTATGATTGTGTCAGATTATTAACTGAACATTCAGTAATTAATAACAATTTAATGGCACGTTTGGTTGCTGCCATTTAACAGAACATTTCATTCAATTACATCGAAAAATGCATTTTGAGCATTAAAAAATATTTTGATTGACAGTATAAGAATCTTATCAATTAATCAATGAAAGCAATCAACGATCCTCTTTAATCTCTCAAGAGATAGAACTGTAAAAGACCTTAGAGTCCCTGATGATGTTACAAATTTAGCATCCATTGCTGGTGATCTGGATAAGCTGATTTAGATAATGCATGATCATAGCAAAAATGATATCTGAAAAAAAAATGATGATTTTAAGTGTTTGAATGCGTTTGAAATTGGCTGCCAAGAAAGTTGCTGGTAAGCTGAAAAACAACACTATAAGAATTCAGTTTGGAAAACAAAAATAAATATAATAAAAAACCAATATATATAAATATATGTATAAGCTATTCTTAGTTTTAAAGTGGTCTTTAGGCCATTAGATAGTTCATCAAACATTATTTTGCTTGAAAAAACTGATAAACCAATAGTTAAGCATTAAAATTTTAACAAAAATAGCTAAAGTGTCGCAAAAAATCTAGCGGGTATTGCTGATGTTTGGAATAATATCAATAATCGCAAACGAGAATTCATTATTTGTAAAAAAGTGACAAAAGAACGGTAATGGAGAAACTTAATGTCACCTTTCCAATCATCTGCTTTTTCTAATTCAATTTTATCGATATTGAAGTAAGCTTTCAACTTATCATGATTTTCACAAAATTCTTGCAAAAAAACATTTTACGTCCGAAAAATTGCCTCATGGAGCTCATCGTCTACGTGGTGCTGGCCATCAATGAATTTTAGTATAGAATAGTTGCTTTTTCAAAAACGTCATGAAGTTATTCTTCACTTGTTTGTCTTTTCTTTTTTAGTCTGAGGGATAAACTTTATTTCTTTTCCTCATTAACAGCAACGGCATAATATTCATGTGTGTGCTGTGCATACTATGCATTATAATATTAATTTTTTTGTTAAATTATTGTTATTAAAATTTCTTATTTAAAAATAATGATTTTCTATTATTGTTATTATTACTAAATTATAATAAATTATTTTTAACAACATAAAAGATTGTAAATATGATTGATTTAAATATGATTGTGTCAGATTATTAATTTAGCTGAAAAAATATTATCCAGTAAGATTATACGACATCCGATCAGCACAGTGCTTTGTGTCAAACAATCCTCATGATCAACACTCTGGCCCCATCACTGCTGTAAGATTATTTCATTGTTACAATGTGCATGTGCCTAATAACATTAAAATTATTTTTCAAGGTAAAATACAGTCCAACAGGTCATTTGTATGTTACATCCTCAAAAGATGGAACAATCAAGATATGGGATGGTGTTAGTAACAGGTTTGTTTAGTTGCTTTCGTCATTTCATTTTTTTCCCATTCTGAATTATTTATTGTCCATTTATATTTTACTAGTTAAACATTATGAAGGCAACATAACTGAATGATTAAGTTATGAAGTGGCTTATCACACTCATCAATAGATTAAAATAAGTTTTATAAAATTTTGATTAGGATTATTTTGTTTTAGACAATAAATTGCTTTGTTTTAAATGTGTACAACAGATGCATAAACACATTCATGAGGGCGCACGACGGCTATCAAGTATGTTCCGTCATCTTTTCAAGAAACTCCAAGGTTCATAGTTTTAATTTCATCCTTAAAAGCTGTTAAAGTCATTCGAAACATTTTAATAATTTTTACGATTGGTTTCTTATAGCTAGATTATTGAAAATTTTAAAAACTATTAAATCAATTTTTGTAAAATGTCAATTGTTAATTTTGTACTGGGCGCTAGGAATATTTAAAAAAGTATATGTATATATATGTTTTTATTCAAGGCATGAAGATTATTTAGTTTTGTCTTTATTCTGTCAGTATGTTCTTTCAAGTGGCAAAGACTCTCTGGTGAAGTTGTGGGAGCTATCTACATCAAGGTGTCTGATAGCATACACAGGTGCCGGAGTAATTGGAAAGCAAGAGCACAGGTCCAACACAATCTTCAACCATAGCGAGGATTTTGGTTTGTCAGTTTTTAATTTGAAGTAAATAATTTTAATTCATAATGTTTATCGTGGACTAGATCTTTTGAGTGCTCTTGTTTAATATACGAATGCATAGCGTAGGTAATGGATGCAGAATGAAAGAAAAGATAAAATGAAAGATTATAAAATATCTAAAACCTGCATCAAAACAAAATTAAACCTAGGTTTACTAAATATAAAGTCAATACGTTCTAAATATGATGCCGCTTATGAGTTGTTGTCTAATGGTATGAACGTATTCGTATTGACTGAGATATGGCATGGTTCATCTAATGATTTAACAGTGAGACTGGCAAAACCTGAAGAATTTGATTATGTTGACTGCGTGCGACCTCTGGACCCAGGTCATGGTGGAATAATTGTTTACTTTAGAAAAAGTTTTAGAGTTCAAATATCGAAATGCTGGTTTTCAATTCCTTTGCGTCAATTGTGCTTAAAATATTCTGCGGTAAAACAAGTATTATTTTGTTAGCTATTTATAGGCCGGGTTCAGCTCCAATCACGCCTGTTTTTTTCAATGAAATCGAAATCATGTTGGAACAGGTATCGTTAGGTGCTGATTTTGTGATACTGGCTGGAGATTTGAAAGTACACGTTGAAAGAATGGATGATGACCATGCTGTCAACTTTTGAGAAATCTTTCAATTATTTAATATGCGTAATAGAGTTGATGAACCTATTCATGTTCATGGTAGTAACTTGGATTTGGTGGCTTCATCAACGGAACTTTCCGCATCTGCCTGTTCGGTTGGTCCTTGTGGTTTATTATCTGATCATGGTTTGGTTCAAGTTAATTTTCCTTTGGTTTTTAAGTTTCCGGTGGTTAGAAGAAAACTGGTTCGTTCATGGAATCGTGTAGATTATAATCAGTTCACCACTTTAAAACATAACTCGCCAATCTGTGGACCATTTGATTCGTCTGATCCAGAGTTTTTGATCAAATTGTTTGAGAAAGAAATCAGAGCTTTAATAGACATTGTTGCTCCACAGTTTTCAGTAGCATTCAAGAATATGCCTGCTTCACCGTGGTTTGATGATGACTGTAGGTTTTCTAAAAGATCATGCAGAAGAGCTGAAAAAAAATTTGTTTTCAATTTCTGTCAGTAATCCAACATCGTCTGCAAACATTTAATTGTTCAGCTTTGGGCCTCCACATTTTACTCCAACATCTACATTTTTTTAGAGCAAATTGGAATACTTCTTCCAGCAAGATGATAAATAGTGTTGGGGATAGATTACATCCTTGTCTTACTCCCACCTTAATCCTAAATCAGCCTGAAAGTGCATTATCTACTTTTACAGCACTTATAGTTTTTTGGTATTTTGCTTTGATGAGTATTATTAGTTTCTCTTCTATTCTGCATTTCGCATTGCCTGCCAATGTCTTTCATGCCAAAGTCAAAAGCTTTTTTATAATCTATAAAATTGATGAAACAGGTTTTGTTTGCATCAATATACTTTTCCATTATTTGTTGAAGAGTAAATAATTGATCAATAGTGCTTTTGCCTGGACGAATTCCTGCTTGCTCGTCCTCTATAATTTCTTCAATTTAATTCTGTAGTCTTTTCTGCAACATATTAGTGTAGATCTTGCCAGGTATGCTTAACAGTATATTTTAACTCTATATTTTTTACAATCTGTCTTGTCTACTTCCTGTTTATATATAAAAATAATTTCGCCTTTTCCCCAGTCCGCAGGTATCATCTCTTGGTGGAATATTTTTGTTCATGAAGTGCTTTAATCATTGTTTACCCTTCCCCTTTAAACATTTCTGCGCTTATTTCATTTATACCTGGTGCCTTGTTTTTTTCAGGTCTTTTATGGCTTTTTCTACTTCTTCTTCGAGAAAATTTTCAGTTATTTTTTTTTCTTATTTTAAATTTTTTCTAAACTTTTGGTTTCTACTTCCAGTTTGCAATTGTAAAAGTTTTTAAAATGTTCTTTCCATCTTTCCTGAATTTCTTTACAGTCTGTTAATATCTTCCCATCTCTATCTTTTATTGTGGCTAGTTTCATTGTATAAGTTCCGGTAAGGTCCTTTATTCCCCTGTATGCTTCTTTTGTTCTGTTATATTTAAAATGTTTTTGTATCTCTACGCATTTTTGTTTTATCAAGTTGTTCTTATCTGTTTTTAATTTCTTTTTTATTTGTCTTGTGATCCAGTTTATTTGTTTGCCATCGGCCTTTATTAATCTCAACCGTCTTCGTTCATCGCATAGCTGCTTTACACAATCGCTAACCCATTGTTTTTCCTGTCTATTATCTTTAATTCTAATATCTTTTCAACATTTTCAATTACAGCGTTTTTTAATATTGACCAATGTTCTTCTATTGTAGAGTCTGTGGTTATTCCCTTTAATTTTTCATAGATCCCTTATTCATATTTGTTTTTTATCACGGGATTCTCTAATTTGTCTGTGTCCAGATGAAGTCTACCAGAGGTTTTTTCTCTTTCTTTAGTCTCAATTATAGTTTTGCCATGATTTGTTTATGATAAGATCCAATTTCTGCTGAGCATGTTCTTATATTTTGTACGTTGGACATTTATTTTTTGCTCACTGTCATGTAATCTATCAGGTTTATGGTTTTTCCATCTGATGATCTCCAAGTCCACACCTAGATTACAGTCATTTTACCAAATGATGTTCTGAATCTTGTTTCAAAAGTCTGGATGACATGGCTTGATATCCAATCAACTCTTGTGTTGTCTTTTCCGTTAATATAAGTGCAACTTCTTCCAGTGATTTTTTATCTTCTCTTCCTGAACATAGTATTATATATTTAGACTGATCTATCTGTGTCGTAAATTCGTTTTTTTCTTTCCACCTAGTGTCACTTTGTAATCCCTTTATTACAAGTTGCAGACCTCCGTTTAATTTAAAGTTCTTACATTCCAGTGGAAGAACTTTAAATTATACTATTTAAAGTTCCTATTCCAATGATTTCTAAAGAAATGAAAAAAAGGATTAATGTAGCTGAGATGTGGTTTTTGAGAAGAATTATGAAAATTAGTTGGGTCACAGCCCGGTTATGGAAAGAGGAAATTATAAATAATCCGACGGTTGTAGTTTAAGTTTTTGGTCACATCATGCGGAAAGAAAGAATGGAAAATTTAACAACTACTGGAAAGATTGCAGGGAGAAGAGATCGCGGTCAACAACGAATTACGTAAAGTTTTTGTGTCACTTGTTGAATATCACCACATTTCAACTACTACAAAGTGTTGAAGATCGGGTTTTGTGGAGGTCGATGGTCGCCAATGTCCTGAAAGGATAAGATACGAGAAAGGAAGAAAGAAGACTTATATATTTTTTTATACTTTATAATGCGACTTTGTCAAACGCAGAGCTGCTTACATGTTATTCTATACTTATAATTAAACTTTCGTGTCACAAAGGCTGTACACTATCCACACCACACGACGCACATACACATTATGTATGCACGCGCAAGCACCGCATCATACGGGTATGATGGTCTTTGAGTTTTAGACAGACAGTAATCGGACCATGCCATCGCGTAATAGCAGCGCGAGACACGGCACTTCTACTGACTGACGATAATAATCATACATTACAAAATAAAAAAAAGTAAAAATAAAAAAGTCCATAATAAAATATATTTAGTAAATTAAATTAAATTACAGTTTTATTTCCCGATGAGAAAACTACAAGTCTGTGCTGTTGGGATTCTAGGAGTGCTGATAGACAAAGGCTCTTGTCATTGGGTTAGTAATTTAAAAACGATTCTTAAATAATGCTATGTAAAATTGATGTTTTAATTTTCAATCGCCCAACTTAATACCTTGTCATCACATCATCGGGTTTATATGGTGATATTTAGATGATTTTTCACATGTTAATGTCAGTGTCTGTAATCCGGACAAGAACCGTTTCTAATATCATGCCTAGCAACGCACCACCATCTTCTCTCTTTTCAGTCATGGTCACCCACCAATCTTAATTGCTATTCTCGACCCAAGTAATTTTTTTATTTTCCTCTCCTGGTGAGAGAACCCGGTATGTATGTTGACTTTTGGGACCTTGTTAGCTTTCAGCGACTTACTTACTTTGTTACATGTTTTATCACTTTGCTACAAACTTTCTCCTCAAATCGGTTACAAAAATTTCTTCTATTAAATTTATATTTAACTGTATTTATATTTAACTGTAAAAAAAACGCAACTGTTGCATCTCGTCGAGTTAAAATGAAATTGCATATTATTAAAAAATGCCACAGGCCTAAAAATAGTTTTTTTATTTTATTTTTGATCTTAAAAATGTTCTGAATGTTTGAATTTGTGCCTATCAACTTTTGGCTTTTTCTATCGTTCTACCTTAAAGATATTTTTTATCTTACCTATATCGGATGTAATCTATCTATTGTTATAACTGTCCCCGGTCGACGACGAGTTTGTTTAATCCCCAGTGAAAAATTAAGAAAATTTAACTTCCAAATTATCGATTTAATTACTTACAAAACAATGATTAACTAAATAATTAATCAATAATCGACGTTAATTAATTTTACTAATAAAAGTTAATGTTCACAAACTATCAAATTAACGTTCAGAAACTATCGTTTTCCGAATAACAAGTCACTAACGATTATCGCAATTAAACGATTATGCAATAAAAATCCAACGCAGAGTCAAATGTCAAATATCGCTTTCAACACTAATAATCAATCGCTTTCTAATATCTAACATTCAATAACCATTCAATATCTCGCACGTCTTTATATACTCGTCTTACTGGCGCTTCTCGAACGTCTCAGATATCTCGCTGTTGGAAGGTTCTAGTTCCTTCTCGAATCGTATGCGTTCGCAGTGACACTAGCGCCTCTAGCGAATATATTTGTGACGGTTGTAACACTATGACAGCAGATTTTTTATTTTTCATTTAGCAGAAACAAAGTGATGTGTAAGGACATTTGGTTTATCATAAATAACTGACCTATGTTTAAATGCTTTAAAAGGCTCTCTCAGATATCTATTCTTTAGGCAACAATCTTTCCATCTAACAACAGTTTTTTCTTCTAGCTTATTCATGTATGTTCAATACCTCTTAATCTGAAATATTTTTTCTTTATTGCTCTCATCTTTCCTTTAAAAGCTTGTTTTTGTGGCCTCTTGTGCTACGGCTTTTTGTAAAATTAATGAATATGGATCTTTATCAGCTTTTTTTAAAGTTAATGAATAAGGATTTTTAGCATCCTTGCCTGTAATGATATTGTACATCGGAATCTGGTCCGGCATTTATCTAAAGTTGGCAACCTACAGCTGCAATCTTACTTCATATTATTGTCATTTAGAATTCTTAATCATCCGTGTTACTCCTCTTTGAATTTTTTCTATGCAATCGATTGTGTGGCATTTTATCGAAGGCTTAAGCAAAATCCAGATAAACTTTACCCTTATCCAAGTTGACAAACACCGTTTCAAAAAGTTCGAATGAGTTTGTTAGATGTGACATTTACGTTAAAAGCCCTATTGACTCTTACCAATTATACAATTTTTCTATATGTGTTCAATGGTTATTCCTATGAGAGTACTTTGCATAAAATGTTTGTTAAGCTAACTGGTCCATAGTTGCACAGTTCGCTTCTATAACCTTTTTTGGGCAGAGGCACAACTAATGCATCCTTTCAATCCGGTGGTATCTTTCTGGTTCATATAGAGGTTTGTTTGTTAGAGATCATGTCACAATCAGCTCTCGCTCATTTAGATTTCATATATTTCGAAAGCATTTTATCAGAAAACATTTTGTTCAGTTGGTAACCTTTAATTTAATAAATGCTGTTAAATTTATTTTGAATTAAAATATGTTTTTTATTTGTCCTCTACAGGCCACAACGGTTTAGTGAGATGCATAGCACATTCGCCTGTTAGTCCAGCGCTTGTTTCATGCAGTGATGATTTTAGAGCAAGGTTTTGGTACCGAAAAACAGATTCCGAATGAAATTAAAACCACAGTTTCACAGTTTGCATTCATTTCACAAAACAGTTTCCACGTTTATTAAAAAAATTGAAATGTGTTAATACGAATGTACTTTTCAAATAAATATCACAATTAACTGTGCGATAATAACGTACAAACGTATATACACGCACACATATATGTATACATATATACTTATAGTTATTTGTATACATATATATATATGTACATATATATATATATATATATATATATATATATATTTATTTATATATATTTATATATATACATCGAAAGACCATATTTTATACAGTATTGGTATAGATACCGTATAATTATGGCCATATATATATATATATATATATATATATATATATATATGTGTGTGTGTGTGTGTGTGTGTGTGTGTGTGTGTGTGTGTGTGTGTGGGCTGATAAAATGATAAAAGACCAGTAGAATGTCGGTTTCTTGAATTACTGCATATACATGTATATATATTTATATAATTAGGTATAAGGCCACTACGTATACAATTATAATTAAATTCTATCGCTATAGTAATATTTATTAATTTTAATTTTTCCAATAATATATTGTAATTTATTATTTAGTTTATTAATTAAATTAACAAAATGTTTCATAATATTCATTTTATTGCTATTAATTTAAAAAATAACATGTTAAAATATAAATAAATTAATGAAATATATTGAATAAAAATTTATTGTTTAGTTTATTGATTAAATTAACAAAATGTTTTATGATATTCATTTTATTGCTATTAATTTAAAAAATAACGTGTTAAAATATAAATAAATTAATGAAAATATATTAAATAAAAACTAATTAATTTAAAAAGTTTAACTGCACGCAACAAGAAAAATATGCCATGATCAGTGTTTTAAATTGAAATACAGTTAAAAATGTTGAGACTATAGTAACCAAAAACTGAAAGTCAAACTAAGTGGTGTATAGTTTTTATTTAATACATTTCATTAATTTATTTTAATTTTAATGTTATTTGTAAATAAATAGCAATAAAATGAATATTATAAAACTTTTTGTTTAATATTTAATACATTTCATTAATTTATTTTAATTTTAATGTTATTTGTAAATAAATAGCAATAAAATGAATATTATATAACTTTTTGTTAATTTAATTAATAAACTAAATAATAAATTACAATATGTTATTAGAAAATTGAGAAATTTAAATTAAAAAATAATACTATAACGATAGAATTTAATAAAAATTATATATATATGTATATATATATATATATATATATTGGAAGGAGACCATATTTTATACAGTATTGTATGAATTCTACCAAATTGTTAGCATTAATCAATTTAAAGTTTGTCTTAATTTTTCCTACTAGAATTTTCTGGAAATTGTTCATTTTGTTGAAAATTGAATTATCCAAGAATTATCCATTATTGAAAATAGAATTATCCATTTGATGAAACTGTTGTTTGTTGTTTTCCGAATTCATCATGCAGATAAGGCCTTATTTTTAAAATCATTTTTCAGTTCATGTTTGGTTTATATAGTTCCTTTAAGCAATGCAAAGTTCTTCAGCAATGTGTTTTAGCTGGTAACGTATTCTTCATCTTTGTTGTTGTCATTCCTTTGTTCTTCATTGTTATTGAAGTTAGTATTAAGTCGTCGAGTTGGTAATAATGTTATCATTTTTTGTTGTATGTTTATTTGGGGTTTATTGATATCTATTAGGACAGCTTCTGCAATTTTTAGATGTATTTTGTTGGTGTTTTGATAAATTATTTTTGTGTTGTCAAGAATATATATGTATATATATTATATATATATATATATATATGTGTGTGTGTGTGTGTGTGTGTTGTTAATAGACCATAATTTTTACAATATTCTATAAATTCTACCGAATGTTTGGCGTTAATATCTTTGTAGTTCGTTTTTTCGATTTTTCTCACTAAAGTTTTTTGGTGAACGTTTAGTTTATTAAAATTCAAAATAAACTTATTTTTCGAATTCATGCTGCAAATAAGGCCATATTTCATCATTAAATTTTCATGATGAACTTGGATAATTCTATTTTCAACAATTTGGAAATTATCAATTTGGTTTTCTAGCGGGGAAATCAGCAATTGATGCAATTCACATCCTTCGGCAACTGCAAGAGAAGTACCTCGCAAGCAAAGCATCAACAACTATCACACATTTTTGTAGATCTTGAAAAAGCATGTGATCGAGTTCCCCGTGAAGCAATCAGGTGGAGTCTACGTCGACAACTCTTCCAGAATATCTTTTTCGACTTGTGATGGAAATATATACGAATACTAAGACTCTCGTCAGCACAACGGTTGGAAACACAGATGCATTTGACATCGGTGTTGGAGTTCACCAAGGCTCGATTCTCAGTCCACTGTTATTTATAACTGTGATGGAAGAAATCACAAAACCGATACGCACTTGTGACATTTGGAATCTAATATATGCTGATGATATCGTTTTAACAGCAACGTCTGAGCAGAATGCAGCACAGATGTTTAAAGATTGGAACACCAGACTCATTCAAAGTCAACATCAGCAAAACCAAAGCAATGAACACTGGTGAACCCATCCAATCCACAGCTACTGGACGATGGCCCTGTTCAGTTTGTAAAGCTGGTGTAGGTAACAATTCAATCAAGTGTCAGCAGTGTAACCAGTGATGTCACAAACGTTGTTCAAAAATAATTGGTACTTTATCTAAAGTGTCCAATTTTGTTTGTCCTGCTTGCATCAATCCACAACAACACATTCGAAATAGCACTGTTTTTGAAGCCATTAAGGTAGAGAAAGTCACATCGTTTCAATATCTTGGGGATGTTCTGGATTGTACTGGAACAGGTGAAGCTGCCGTTCGAGCACGCATACGTGCAGCCTGGAATAAATGGCATCTCCTTGCCTCTATATTGATGCGGCGTGACATCCCACTACCATTACGCTCAAGACTTTATAAATCTGTGATACGTCCGGTGTTGTTATATGGTGCAGAAACATGGCCGATGACAACCAAACTGGAACAACAACTTCAACGAACTGACATGAAAATGTTTCGATGGATGCAACGAATTAGTCTGAAGGACCACATCAAATCTACCGAAATCCTGCGTCGTGCTGGTTTAGATGATATAAAGGACGAATGCCGGCAACACCGTACGGTTGTTTGGTCATGTCAAACGAAGTAGAAACAGTGCCATAACTTCTCTTGCAGATATTGAAGTTCCTGGCACACGTCCCAAAGGCCGTCCAAAGAAGTCCTGGTCGCAAACAATTGAGCAAGACATGAAAGCTCTAAATTTAAATGAAATGGATACAACTGATCGTCTAATTTGGCGCAAAAAGTTGATGGCAAAGAAAACAACGTCCTACCTCGGGAAACCGGGACTCTGGACGCAAAACGAAGATTGATTGAATTTGAACAATTTCCAGAAATTTCTTGTAAGGAAATTGAGAAGACAAATTTTAAATTTATTAATGCCAACAATATATATTAGTATTAGATATAGTCATGGATATATATATATATATATATATATATATATATATAAGCTTAAAGCAAAAATTTTTATAAATCAATTATTTTAATAACCTTGACACCACGGGAAGGAAAAATCACCGTCGTCCTTTAATATAAGTAGCTGTTGGTAAAACATGGCGACTACCTATTGTTTCAACAAGTGCTAGCCAGCTTTGATTACAATGTATCATCTGAGTTACTTTTCGAACCACCTATTCAGCAATATATGCCACTGCATTATCGATAATGGTTGACATTGTGTTTTGATTTAGAAACTCCAGGTCTGACTAAATTAGCTTCTTCAAAAATATGTTGAAATTGTTCTTCGGGTATTTTAAATTCAGAATCTTCTATTAATTGTTCCTGTACATTGCCTGAAAAATTAGATAATGATAAACATAAAATATCTTCTAAAAGGTATGTAATTTTAATTTTTGAATAACCTATTTTCCCAGGGACAGACCCTCATCTGAAATAAACTCGTTTAAAGATGGTTTCCAACTGTTGTACATTGGGATTGTCATTGCATTTTCCTAAGTCAATATAATAATATACGAAGTTAAAGTGTTTTAAAAATTACTTTATATGTTTTCAAACCTGCACTTCTGATAAAGTTGAAAAACAACTCCAGATGATCCTGACTGAATTTGTACGTTAGAATAAATTTTTGAGTTGGAAGCAATGATACAATTTCAACAAAAAATGTATAGTGAAAAAATAGTTTCTAATTTATAAAATTTTCTTACCAGAATTTGCAACCAATCTTGAGTTTAGTTCATCATTGATTTCTTTAAGTTTTTTAATTTTTTTTTAAATGCCTGAACATTTAATTTATATCTCTTTATTCTTCTATTGCAGCTGTATAACACTTTCCTTGTTTTAGTCAATGTCGTACTTAATTGATTAGCTTTCCTTTTCAAACTTTTTGGCGTCAAAGCATCAATACCAGTCTGTTACATTTCAAGTATATATTCCAAAAATTTCATAAAGTAATTTTTTAAATGACAATTCAGCTTTTTGAAATAAAAGCATCAACGAATGCAAACCATATAAAAATTTCTTTAGATAACTATTTGTATTTGAGAGTTGCAGAAAGTTTAATAAATTTTATTTGATACGTATATTATGTTATAACCTGTCAAACATACAAACCAATTTAACAGCAGATGTTGATGGTTTTTCAACTGGTCGCGATGATGTTGAGGGTAACTGAAATGTTAAATTATTAAAGTTTTATTAACACTGGACATTTTTGAATATATGTTATTATTTGCAAGGCAACTTATTAATATCTTTAAGGTGATAACTCCGGTCATAACGACAAGACAAATGTTTAATTATGTTTCTATCTTATGCATAAAACATAAACATGCTTCTTATGTTTTAATATAAATATAACAAAACTTAATGCAAAGCAAATTTTTAAAAATATTTAATAAAAACTGAAAATTTGTAATACTTGGTGGCTTA